TAGAATATCATGAAAAAGTTGGTTTATTTCAGTAATTCCATTCAAAAAAGTGAAACTTGTATATTATTTTCATTCATTACACACAGACTGATATATTTCAAATATTTATTTATTTTAATGTTGATGATTATAACTGACAAGGTGGCGCAACTGGTAGAGCTGCTGCCTCTCAGCGAGCAGGTCCCTGGTTCAAATCCCGGTCCGGGGGCCTTTCTGGGTGGAGTTTGCATGTTCTCTCCGTGCATGCGTGGGTTTTCTCCGGGTACTCTGGTTTCCTCCCACAGACCAAAAGCATACATGTTAGGCTGATTAGTAACTCTAAATTGTCCCTAGGTGTGAGTGAGAGAGTGAATGGTTGTTTGTCTCTATGTGGCCCTGTGATGGACTTGCGACCCGTCCAGGGTGTACCCCGCCCCTCGCACAGTGATTGCTGGACATGGGCACCAGCGACCCCCGTGACCCAAAATGGAATAAACGGGTAAAGAAAATGGATGGATGGATGGATTATAACTGACAACTAATGAAAACCCCAAATTCAGTATCTCAGAAAATACTATGTATGTATGTAAGTATGAACATGAAAAGTATGAGCATGTACAGCATCAATACTTAGTTGGGACTCCTTTTACCTGGATTACTGCAGGAATGCGGCGTGGCATCAATCAGTCTGTGGCACTGCTCAGGTGTTGTGAGCCCAGGTTGCTCTGACAGTGGCCTCCAGCTCTTCTGAATTGTTGAGTCTTGTGTATCACATCGTCCTCTTCACAATACTCCATAGATTTTCTATGGGGTTAAGGTCAAGCGAGTTTGCTGGCCAATAAAGAACAGGTCCTTAAACCAGATACTGGTAGCTTTGGCACTGTGTGCAGGTGCCAAGTCCTGTTGGAAATGAAATCTGCATCTCCATAAAGTTGGTCAGCAGCAGGAAGCAGGAAGTGCTCTAAAACTTCCTGGTAGATGGCTGTGTTGACCTTGGACCTCAGAAAACACAGTGGACCAATACCAGCAGATGATAATGGCACCCCAAACCATCAATGCCTGTGGAAACTTGACACTGGACTTCAAGCAACGCGGATTCTGTGCCTCTCCTCTCTTCCTCCAGACTCTGGGACCTTGATTTCCAAAGGAAATGGAAAATTTACTTTCAGAGAACATAACTTTGGACCACTCAGCAGCAGCAGTCCAGTCTCTTTTTGTCTTTAGTCCAGGCGAGACACTTCTAATGCTGTCTCTTGTTCAAGAGTGGCTTGACACAAGGAATGTGACAACTTGCATATGTCTGTGCGTGGTGGTTCTTGAAGCACTGACTCCAGCTGCAGTCTACTCTTTGTGAATCCCCCACATTTTGGAATGGGTTTTGTTTCACAATCCTCTACAGGGTGCAGTTATCTCTATTGCTTGTACACTTTTTTTCTACCACATGTTTTCCTTCCCTTCGCCTCTCTATTAATGTACTTGGACACAGAGCTCTGTGAACAGCCAGCCTCTTTAGCAATGAGCTTTTGTGTCTTGCCCTCCTTGTGTAAGGTGTCATTGGTCGTCTTTTGGACAACTGTCAAGTCAGCAGTCTTCCCTGTGATTATGTAGCCTAAAGAACTAGACTGAGAGACCATTTAAAGGCCTTTGCAATTGTTTTGAGTTAATTAGCTTATTAGACTGTGGCACCAGGTTTCTTCAGTATTGAACTTTTTCACAATATTCTAATTTTCTGAGATACTGAATTTGGGGTTTTCATTAGTTGTTCATTATAATCATCAAACATTTGAAATATATTACAATGTGTGTAATAAATTAATATATGTTTCACTTTTTGAATGAATTAATGAACTAAATCAACTTTTTCATGATATTCTAATTTTATGACCAGCACCTATACATATATATATATATATATATATATATATATATATATATATATATATATATATATATATACACACATACACACACTTACATACATACATATATACACATATATGTATATACATATATACACATATGTATATACATATATATATATATATATATATATATATATATATATATATGTGTGTGTGTGTGTGTATATGTATATATTTCTTTTGGAATTCAGGGTGGCTTATAAGTAAACTGTAAAGTTTTCAGTAATAATAAATTAAAGCCTCACTTGTTTTGTCAGTGTGGGTACGTTTATTTCTAATGTTTCAGATCTTAACAAGAAAACATTTACGTTCCAAAACTTTCCAAAGCTGTTTTAAGCACCATGCACATTACATTTTACCACAAACATCTGTTTTATTTAAAAAAAAAAAAAAGAAAAAAAAAGCATTGGAATTTATTCAGTGTTTTTTTAGAGTAAAAGGCAGAAAGAACAAAAACAGTCAATGTCAGCAGTAACATTAATACTGAAGGTCGGACACTGAGAGTATTTAGCAGCCTTATAAAGAGTTTTCCGTCTTGTGTTTAAGGGGTTTTAATGGGTTTTGGGGCTTTAGTTGATGTGACGTTGGTTCTTATTCTGCCTTCTCGTAGTGACGTGTACAAACAATTTCTCCGATGGTCAGTTTCTGCAGCAGACAGAAAAAAACAGTTTAAATACAACAAATCGGCTCTTACAGATGATGTGGTTTGCAAAACTCACCAGTGTGAGCTTGTTTCCATCAACTTCCCTGACCAATGTGGTCTCCTTGCCGTCCCATTTCTGTGTGTGGACCATCTTCCCATCTTCTATTGTCACTAAGGACTTTATGCAAGAGAGATACAGTAAGACACTTTTGTGTAAACACATAAATGACAGTGAATTATAAGCAATGTGCGTCCATATATGTATAACATGAATTGTTTGTTTTTTTTGTATCTGATAGATTACAATTCATTTAATAAGCAAAAAAGTTACAGATTGCATTAGTACTGCACACAACAACAACAAACGTGTTCTTATAGCAAACGTTTTTCAAATCTGTGGAAGTTTTATTAAAAAGCAACCAAAATGTTAAAAATAAAAAATGTAAACATGTTAGACATCATCAAACAGAATAGCAACTTAAAAAGAGCGGGAAATTTGTTGTAAATTGTGGCCCAAAAAAGCTCTAGCTTTTCGTTAAGTTACATTAGCCCAGTTGAGCTAAAACGTAATCCATTTGGTTGCAGTAACAATGTAAAGATGTTGGATAACAATAAAAATAAAACAACCGAAGAGAAAGTTTAAAAAAGCGGAAGTGTGTTTTCAATCACTCCAGCAAAAGAGGCTCTGGCTGTACATTAGCCTAGCCTAGCATAGCTAAGCTAAATTTTAATCCATCTGGTTGAATTAAAAAATATAACAATTTTAGATGATAACAACAAAAAAATAATTCAACAGTAAAGCAGGTTTTAAAGAGGATGCATTTTCTGTCAATTGCAGTCCAAAAATATGTTTGCACTCTATAAAGCTACATTAGCTTAGCCTAGCCTTGCTAAGCTAAAACATTACCTATTTGATTGAAGTAAAAATGTAAAGATATTGGACAATGTTAAACAGAAAACTACACTAAAACAAGTCCTGATGTAAGCTCAATCATCCGGGTAAACAAATTGCAAAAGAAGAGTTAAAACAAATTATCTGGACAGATTTTTCTTGGTAGAAATGTTTCGTCTTTCATCCGAAAGACCATCAGTCTGAAGCCTGCCAACAAGTTCTGTCGTATAAATAAAACCTTTTTAAAGCGGTTCAAGCCAGCCTGCTGTGGAGTTCCAGAAATGAGCTTTTCACATGTAAAAAGGGGACTAGGTCTAACAATCAATCGGAGGCCTAGCAAGTAGCCAACACTAAAAGTCCCACATTAGCCTAGCTAAGCTCAAATATATTTTAGGAGTTTGTCCTATCAGTTTCCATATCGATGAAATTTTACTTTGACAACTTTATTCTAACTTTGCTAAATTAAAAACTTTTCTGTCCTCAAAATTTTGAGCAAACTTTATCATTCTTTAAGTTGTGAACCTTTCTGACTTGTTTCTACTTTCACAAGAACTGCAACCCCCAACTGTTTGTTTCATCATCCATCATTTCTGTGGCTTTCACAAGAAGAGCTATCTGCAAACGTAACTGCTTAAACGGGATCTGGAACTCATTAAGACTAATCACTGACTGCTCTATACTTTAATGCTCGGACCTTACAGCTTAGTTTTGCGTGAAATCAAGAAATCTTTTCTTTTTTTTTCTATCCTGACTCATTCTCCTGTTCTTAGTTCTATCTTATCTTTATTCTCTGAGTCTTACGTTTTATCTTTTAATACCCCCCACCCTAAGTGTCTGCTATTTTTTAAGTGGCCAACTTCTGGAAGCAATAAGAAGCAACATCTGGAGGTATTTGCAAGCTTCAGAGCAAGAATGTCTCAGAAGCAGGTTGTATTTGTAGGAGATCACCAAACTGGGAGACCTAAAACCTCAAAAGTTTTCCTCCGAAAAAACTGTTTTGAACAAGACTTTGGACGACAACAACATGATACGCATTTAAACGTTATCTCTACCATCGCAAGTACGACAGAAAGTATACCATTACAAACACCTGTATGAAAACAGAATCCTAGGTGTTGCGTTTGAACCCTCACCTTAACCTTCCTGTCGTCTGCGGTGGTCTCATCAAAATCCTCTCCCAGTTTGAAGTTCACCTCTGTGTTCTTAATTGCGCTCTGGGTCTTCAAGCACACCTTATCGCCGTCCACGGATATAATGGTGGTGGGCTTGGTCAAGTTTCCTACTTTACGTGTGGCAAAGCCCACACCTGAAAACACAGACACATGGGAAAAGATCAGGGATTTTATCATGACTAGATAACTAGATGCTAAGGTCAGCAAACGTCATGAACATGAACAAAAACACTAAGTATGATCGAAAGCTGAGGAGCTTTTCACTTACCTGTACTTTTTTGTTTGTAATTTATTAAAATTGCCTTGAGGTTTTTGTGATACCAAGGGAATCAGTGAGTTGCAAACTACTAATTGGCACATTTCCCACAAATTCATTAAACCATTTTCACAAATGTTGCCAGAACTCCCAACCAACCTCCAATCTGCCAACAGGAAAATGATACAAGTCATTGAATATATTCTGTTAGAGTGTGAATATGAGTTTTGAATGTTTAGTATCTTGGTTAGAGCTCTTTGTGTAAAGATATTAGAGATATTTAGTGGGATCTGTTTACACAAGGTTGGGACAGAAGCTGTTTATTTGCCCTCCAGGCATCTTCAGCTGACAGGATCTGCAGAGTCGACTATCAGGCCTGCGGCATGTTCTTCAAACACCGCAGAGTCCCACTGACCTGTCGGAGCATGTCACAGTGCAAATGATTACTTACGCTCAGGATCAGGGGTGTGTGTGTGTGTTTGAGGGATCAAGGCTGTTCATTTTATTGGGCAATGGTGACTCACACCCTTTTCCCACAGAAGCACAGAACCTGTTCTGCACGAGGCTTACGATCGAGAACCGGTACGCCGAGCTGGAGTGCACGACTGCAGAGGCCTTAGTGAAAGAAGTGCTGGGCCCCAAGAGGTTGGAGGGCCCCTGGTTTCCATGGCAACCAGGGCAGACAGGTCGATGGCGTTGGGGCTCTGATGTCAAGAGGCCGTGAATCTTCTCCGTCGCGCACAGTTGTGCACTTCTTGGCAGCTGTCCCCATCATGCACACTTAAACCGGCAAGCGTGTGAAATATTCCCCTTGAGTTAACGTCACGGTTATCTGGGTCGGTTCAGTCTTCGACCCCTCCCATGGCCTCAGACAATGAACAGCTTTCAGCAAAGGTCACCCACGCTATACACAACAATGTGTGTGTGTGTGTGTGTTAACTTGTAAGGCACATTTTTCTAACAAATACTACATTGTGAGGACCCACTGCTTCTTATGGGGCCCAAAGCCCGAGCCCCATAAGAAGCAGTGCTGGTTTAGGGTTCAGGGTTAGGTTTAGTGCTAAGGTGTGAAATATGGGTTAGGTTTAGGGTTAGGTATGTACTGGTAATGGTTACGTTATGTATGTACTGGTAATAATTAGGTTTAGGGTTAGTTATGTACTGGTAATAGTAAGGGTCAGGGTTAGGCTATAGAAATGAATGAAAAATGAATGGAAGTCAATGCAAAGTCCCTGTAAAGATAGAAAGACAAACTGTGCATGTGTGTGCATGCGTGTGTGCGTGAGGCAGATGTTGGCCATTCAGCTCTCACAGTTGGGGTTTTCTTTTCTACAGCAGAGCTCCTCCTTCTCCAGCTCAGACCATGCGTCTTTTCCCTTTTTCCTCCCCCTCCTCCCCCTCTGGTTTCATCTTCTCTGGCCTTTTTTTATGTCTCTCCTTCCACACACACCCACTCTTCAATCTTCTTTTTTTTTTTTTTCTAAATCCTCCATTTCAATTCCTTCTTTATTTTCCCCTTTCTTCCATTTAAAAAAAAAAATCTCCCCCACATCCTCCATCGTTTGCACAGTTTAAACCCAGACCTTCATCCTCCCTCACTGTCACATGTGCTCACATGCAGCACTGGCCCACCACACCACTGCATCCTCTCCTGTTACGCGCGCATGCGCACGCACTCACGCCCACTATAAATGAAATACATTCTTACCCAGCTCTTTCATGTACTCATCAAACTTCTCGCTGTCCTTCAGGTTCCATGTGCCAACAAAGGCCTCGACCATGTTTGCAGCAGTGCGGAGAAATGAGTGCAGGAGCCTGAGTGTGTGAGCAGCAGCAAAGCAGAGCGTCAGAATGAGAGAGGAGGAGGCAGACAGGCAGAGTTTAGTCAGCACCACAGGCCTTTCTGCAATCCTACTGGCTGGATGTAGACCGGCTGTTCTTGATGTCATCAGACCGTGCAGGGTAGGAGGAGGGACGGGTGGAGGGAGTGACAGCGTGTGTTGTTTATGCAAATGAAGCACATTTGAATTATGTTTTTGCATTTCATTTATTTATATGTTTTACAGTTTTCATGCAAGTTCTTGTGTCTGGACTGTTCAAGTCTACTGTAGAAAGTGTTGGATGGGTGAATCACAAATGAGCCGTAGAGAAACTCAAGAAAAGAGATGGAGTTGGAGGAGGATGAGCTGTCAGACAGATGAAGAGGAGCAACAAGTGACTTTTCTAAAGACTCGTCCCTCCTCACTGCTCATCTTCTCTGATTCATCTGCTTTGATTAGGTTTTCACTTACTTCAACCTGGAGTATCATCGTGGCTAAGATTGTTAAAGGGGTAGTTCAGGTTTTCTGAAGTGGCGCTTTTTCAGTAAGGTTATGAACAGTTAATATCTTAAATTCAAAATCTATAAAAAATAAATAGATAAATAAAAAATAAAAAAACGTTCAATACAAAATATCAGTTAATATCTTACCTGTTGCACATAGCTTTTTGATTACAGTAGTCCCTCGCTACTTTGCAGTTTAACTTTTGCAGACTCGCTCTTTTGCGTTTTTTCAACGTACAGTACTGTAAGATTGTACACAACAAAAAAATAAATGCACTGCCATTTTGTAGTTTTCTCTCAATAAGCCTACACCGCATCACCAGTCTAAAGGACTACATTGCCCAGAAGGCAACAGTGCACTACCCAGAAGTCAAAGTTGCTTTCTGCTGAAATGGAGGGAAAGTTTTGATCCGATCTGAAAAAAGTTTGGTCCTTCCAGTATTCGGCTCTCAGTGAATGCAGCGAGACGATCAGAACCGGACTGAGGCTGGGTAGGTCTGCCGAACCGGACCGGAACCGAGCTGCTGTGTTCTGCAGAGCTGGTGAGTAAAAAGGCATTACTACTCACTCAACTTTAAATTTTAAACATGATCAAGTTAAGATTAATAAACTTTTGCTTTAGTTGATTTAAATTTATTAGTTGATTGAACTGTTTCAGTATGTTGTTTCAGTATGTCATTCCTACTTTGTGCTTTTTCACTTGGGGGGGCGGGGGACTCAACCCTTGCGATAAACGAGGGACGACGGAACGTCAGTTTGGAAAATTAGTGTTTGTAACACATGGCTATCACATGGTGTAACACAGTTGTACCGATTCAGTCTTTTTATTTGGCTTTTCTAAAAAAAATATCCTGGTACACACGTTTCCAAAAATGTTTTCATCCACACGGAAACGTTGAAAATGGCCCCAAAACAAATAAAATGGGCACGAAATGTAAATGCAACAAGAAAAAATGGACGCCCCCAAGCTGCAAGCCAGGAGCAAGTTTATTGTAGGATTCTTAGGTTTTCGGTCATAATCACTTTCTCCACAGCTGACAATCATCCACCCATCCACACCTGCACCTGATCCTGATGACTTCTCTGCTGTAGCACTTGGCAGGCATTCATCCGACGCTGGAACATTGTGATACCTTTTGGTAATTTCAGTGACAACCAATAACCTACCTCTTGTGAATTTATAACTAACCTTTGACCTTTTTTTTTTGGTGCTTTCCAAGTTCTGCTCCCCAGTGACACGTCCTCCTCGTTCCTTGTGACCACACCTGTAACCATCCTGTTCAGGCAAAAGTCAAACATCAGCCTGGACCAAACAGTGAGCACCACCAACCTGTCACTCACCTTTCTGGATCACGTCTTCATCCCCCTTGGAAATCCTAGGATCGCATTTCTCCCCCCTCTTCAACGCTACCTGCCCTGTGTACATAATGAACGACAAAGAATCTCTGACTACAAACAACCAAAAGTAAGATTAGATCACCTCCAGCCATCAAGTACATTTAAATCTGCCCGTACTCACCTTATTCGCCTTTTCCCGTACAGCAAAGATTTCTTTGTGCACGTTATAAATAAACTCACTCACCTTTTTTACCTTTGACTCTGTGTCTTCATCAGTCTGCTCCTTGGGGTCGTAAAATCACACATCGTGTTATCTAGAAGTTGCTTTTTGGTGATCTACCCATAAAATCGACGTTTCAAGATGTTTTCACTCGGTGTTGTTTTCAAGAAATGTCATTTTCATGTGAACTCATGGCTGAATTTTTTTTTAAAACGTGTAAATACAAAAACAGTCAGTGTGGATGGCCCTTTAGAGTTGAATTCTGACTTAACAGCTAGTCCGATCAGGACCAGGACCAAAGAGGATTGTTTCTGACCTAAAACAACCTCAGATATTGTTTTGGTTCATTCAAATGCCATTTCATAAACTATGAGACTTCTTCTTATTTCAGCTGCTTCCTTCTTCAGGGGTCGCCACAGTGAGCAAGCTCGCTCGAGGATTTGGCAGTTTTATGCCGGATGCCCTTCCTGACCCACCGAGCTACCACAGCCCTCTGTGTGGAGCAGAGAGCTGCTGTCTAGGGCGCCTGAAGGGGCAGATGGTGGGAGTTAAGGGTCTTGCTCAAGAGCCCAGAGTGGGGCAATTGAGGGTGGAGGCAGATGTGGATGCCTCAACTGTTGAACTGACAACCTTCTCATACAGGTTAATTTCTCTTACCTCTGCACCACCACTCCCTCAATCTGTTTTGGCCTTGGCACCGCTTAGACAAACTGTTGGCTGCCAAAATAAGCAATTTATTCCAATTAAAATAATTTTAAAAATCAATGTTTAAAACTTTTACAAAAAAATCCCACTTCAAAAGATCCGAAATGTTGCTTTAGTGGCGTTTTTGCACAGACTGAAAACGAACTGGTTCACAGAGGTAGGGCAAGCTGAATATATGAATATGGGGCTGTAGAAGATTGATGTGTTAATGTAGTGCTTTACTTTGCAAATACTCACTCACACAACTTAATTTAGTTTCTGATGAGTTGGTAAGTTTTCGTTTTAACGGTACAGTATCCCTGAACTCATTCGTTTGTGCAGCTCTCACTTCATGCAGATAAAAGTTGGAAATCTCCGACAGAGCTTTAGGGCCACGCTAAGAAAAAAAAAAATTACATTACGAGAAAAAAGTCATAAAATTACGTGAATAACGTCTTAATATTACAAGAATAAACTCGTAATACGTCCTGGGTTGGCTCGCACCTGCTGTGGACAGCCTCCAATGTGACTCAATGCATTTTTCGATGTAGTTGACGATCACTTTTGGGTTTGTGAAATGTGCCTCCATCCACATTATGTCACGACTAAATCTGTGAATGCAGCCGTTAATTGCAATGCAATACAGCTTCAGTTTATCATAAGAATTCATATGCAACAGTGCGTTGGACCCCTGCCGACGTCGACATTCATCATTTTACCACAGACTGCTTTTTCGTCTCGGAGTTCTGATAGTTTATTCTGGTAAGATTACGAGTTTCTTCTCATAATATTATGACTTTATTCTCATTGTTTCTACTTTATTCTCATAATATGACTTTATTGTCGTATGACTTTATTCTTATTTGTAATGTAATTTTTTTTTTTTTTCTTAGCGTGGCCTTAAGAGCGCAGCACGGTGGCGCAACTGGTAGAGCTGCTGCCTCTCAGCGAACAGGTTCCTGGTTCAAACCCCGGTCCAGAAGCCTTTCTGGGTGGAGTTTGCATGTTCTCTCCGTGCATGCGTGGGTTTTCTCCGGGTACTCCGGTTTCCTCCCACAGACCAAAAACATGCATGTTAGGCTGATTGGTAACTCTAAATTGTCCCTAGGTGTGAGTGAGAGAGTGAATGGTTGTTTGTCTCGTTTGTCTCTATGTGGTCCTGTGATGGACTTGCGACCCGTCCAGGGTGTACCCCGCCCCTCGCACAGTGATTGCTGGACATGGGCACCAGCGACCCCCGTGACCCAAAATGGAATAAACGGGTAAAGAAAATGGATGGATGGATGGATGGATGGCCTTAAGAGCTTTGACGTAGAAATCTGATCTGCTAAATGTTTTTTTTTTCCACTGAATAATTTGGAAGACAATATGTTTGCAGCTCAGTAAAAATAATCATTTGTCCATCAAAGTTGCAAACAACCCAGAAATAACCATGAAAACAATTAACAGAATTGTGAACTTTGATATTCTGTGACTAAAACACATAATCCCAAGTCCTAACAAATGTAAATGTATCGCAAGTTAGTTTGTTTCTGTAACCTTGTGGGAACACTCAGTGACATAATCCATTTACCTACACTTTATCTTTAGATCAGGACTGAAGTTTTAGTGCAAACTTAAACCCATGTATAACCCCTAATCCTGTTTTTATCTCACCACAATGAGTCTGGATTAGTCAAGACTTGAGTTTTGGTTCCTGCAGTCAAAGATGTCCTAATAGGTTGTTGCACAGGCTGGAGTCCTCGTTCGGACAGAAAATCAGACAACACTCACAGCTGCAGCGCTCTCTCAGAACGACAAACGTCTAAATCTCTGTTTCTGATGAAACTCCTTTCTGCAAACGCACGATCCAGTGAGCTCTGGAGGTTGTGCAACAACAAGCCCACATCAGATCAAATACCTGTTACATCACTTCCACATTACACTCTGCCCCACTGTCCTTGTCCTCCTCTGGCCTCCATTTGCTGCCTTCTGCATGTCCGAACAGACACGTGTGTGCACGAATGTGAACAGGTGTGAAAGAGACACATGCACGACAGAGGGGGGGAGCTTGACATTTTTTAGCGTGGGCTCTCAACTTACCAGTCCCATTTTATTTTAGATATTCTACACGACGGTGTAAAGGTACACCTCCGTTAACGTATGTGACTCTAAATGTGCGTTTGTGGCGAAATTAATCGCAGCTTCTTCCTCCCAGCAGCTTCTAGACTTTATAACCATCCCCGCTCCCAACAAGCTCAAGTGTTTACGTCCCTGCTGCTTGCACGGTTTTTCCACTCCTCGTCTGTTGTGTTTTCCTTTTTCTTTGCAAAAGCACACATGCACATGTTGTACATTCTTTAAAT